CACCAGTACAACATTATCATCGCAAATCAAATGATATCACTGAACTAAAACTTCTTGACAGCTCTCCTTACCATTTCATGTCTCAGCGATCTTTGATTCTAGATTTCCCTCCATTCATCTTTTATCCTTTTCATATTTTCCCCTATTAATTTTTTTCTGGCAGTGTTGGTGGTTGGAGCAAATTTGGTATGACAACCTCATTTTAAACTGCATGTCAGAACCACATCCTCTATGTTCAAACCATAATTCTTTTTTTTATGTATTTTTTATTTAAGCAGAGCTGACCTGACCTTCAGTTGGAGGTCTCATTAAATCCCAGCCTAATATTCATATTTGTCAGGTCAGGACAATACTGCATAAAAGTTTAATAGGTCCCCACTCCAGAAGTCAATATTAGGCAAACCCAAGTGAGTGAAATAAAACTAAGCAACATCTGTTGCATGCAGACATTTCTGCTAGTAGGGAACCAAAATCAAATTTTCATCATTGAGGAATTATTCAAACCAGCAAAAAGTCAACATCAAAGAACTTCAATAAGAAATCAAGACTAATGGAACTTGCACTTGAGTATTTCTCCTGTGATAAACATTAATCGAAGCAGACAATTACACATTATCACAAATTCAAATTGTAGGAAGCTCAAAATTGACAGCTCCTTTAACTCTACCAATCACTATTCCAAGTGGCCTCACTTGCCTCACCAAAAAACGTGAGGATTGAAAAACTCATCTCTTTGACTCGTTCCCTTTGGCTGTTCTTCTTGCTTAATATGCTTTCCTCCCATTCTACTGGCATTTCAGCAATTTCAACTAAAGTCGAGAATCTCCGCAATGGTTTGAAAATAATGACATTATTCTCTTGTCGATTACTTAATGATACGGAATCCTAGGCTAGTCCATATGCAACCGTCAGCGAAGACCGGTAAAATTTCTCAAGCATTCCAAATGATGCTTATCTCCAAGACACAGAGTTCAAGTTTGTAAAGGAAACATTGTTTTGCTTTTTGTATGTCACCTGTAAAGGAAGAAATGTCAAGATTCCAGAAATTTCCATTCCCTTCATTCCTTCATATTTATAGCTATTATGAAAAATCTTGTTGCATTCAAACAATGCCCCTTTCTGTACGGAGGTTGCTTCGCTTGAATCACAACTGTCATGGATCACCTCTAGCAAACACAGATTTTTCAATGGACTGTGAAAATATGTTTACCCCGACCAGGACGAGAACTACATCTAGCGATTGTTTAAACTTGTGCTGAACTATTATTCAAAAAAACAGTTAGCAAGTGAAGTTCTATTTATCTAGGTACAATCTTGTACCCGCTTATTTTAGCAATCCATGGGCACTATTGCCTATGATAGTGACTTTTATTGCACATGTTGTCACGCCCCTAGCCCACGGCCCATTGGCACAATGTAAGTCATGGGCCTAGGGCGTGACAAGTGGTATCAAAACAGTTTGCCAGCATGTAAGTGTGGAGTAGTACTATATAGGACTAAGTGCTACACTATGTGAACAAGGTGGAAGCCACCTCTACAATCTATAGGAGCCACCTCTAGAATCATCATCACCTGGTGATTCTAGGATAGGCCAATTGTCTTGCTGCGACGATGACGTCGCTTATATACGGTGAGGTGATTGTGATGCCCCTTAGTGAACTTTAGTCCCACATTAGTGGATGTGTGATAGTAAGTGGCTTAAATAGATAAATCCAAGACTCATGTGTAGCATCGCCTAGTTAATTTCAGTGTTTTAAATGTCGGCCGACATGTCGGACATGTCGGCCGACATAGCGGATTGAAGGGTCGAGCGACACGAATCGCTCTATTTTAAGTCGGATATCGGCCGATTTTTGACTTACTGAGTTACGACGGGCACGATCGACTTCATCACGAGCTCTGGCCTCATCACTCCCATCGAGGCCACTCCGACGCCGCTCTCCGCCGTCGTCATCCTTCATCACGAGCTCTGGCCTCATCACTCCCATCGAGGCCACTCCGACGCCGCTCTCCGCCGTCGTCATCCACCCGTAGTCGTCGCCTGACATCGCCGTCATCGTAGCCCTTCGGTCTCTCATTCAGACCGCCATCAGCCGCTTCAAGGGACGAGTCAACGACGAGCTTCCAGGGACGAGTCGACGACGAGATTGGAGGGACGACGAGCTTTGAGGCGAGGAGTCGACGACGAGATTCGATGGAGAACAGTGAAATCGCCAGATCTGGAGGAGAGGAGCCGATCTTTGAGGAGGCGGCGGATAAAAGGGGAGAAGTGTGGCTTGCCCTAGAGTTGTACTATTTATATGGATAGCATTTGTAAATTGTAAATAAAAATTTGGGCTAGAGTTGTAATATATTGTATACTTGTAATATTTGTCTTCCATTTCAGCAATATACATGTAATATTTTGAGGAATGGTTGTAATATTTTGGGTATAGTTCTAACTTGTAAATGTATACTTGTAATTTTTAATTCTTGTTTTGCAAGGTAGACTTGTATTTTTATATGCTCAAGATGAAAGTAATGAAAATTAACATTCAAACTTGTGAATCTACTTGTATTTAATAAGTTTTACTTCATTAAAAAATTAAACTATTGTTTTTATATTAATATTCTTATTTTTACTTGATCACCCAACAATATTTTTATATACATCATACATACACCTAAAAATAAATTAGTTGTACAATCACTTCTTTATATAGTTCAACAATATTTTTATATACATCATACATACACCTAAAAATAAATTAGTTGTACAATCACTTCTTTATATAGTTCGAACGATAATTTTATATTGTTACTTGACCTAAAAATAAATTAGTTGTACAATCACTTCTTTATATAGTTCGAACGATAATTTTATATTGTTACTTGTTAAGTCCATCCAAAAATTAAACTTACAATCAGAAATTTTTATACTATGAATTATTATTTTTTTATTCAAAATTGAGTGAATTTTACTTACAGAATAAGAATTTTACTAAAATCACTAAAAAAGATCACATATTCAATTTAGGAATGCTTAGATTATATTTAGGATATGATATTATACATATGCGTCCACCCGATATGGTAATCCGATATTTAGTCCATGTCCCCCGATATATCCCCGATTTCCGCTATCCGACATGGATTTCAGCCGTCCGACATGAACCCGACATCCGATATTTAAAACCTTGGTTAATTTACGCAAGAGTATGAGCCAAACAACACGCTACACTCAGTGGGTCCCACGACTTATACCGTGCCAATGGGATCAGGCATGACACATGACCTCTCTGTGCCTTCCTTATTTAGACTATTACCTCATATTATCATTCGAGGTTTTGAAACTGTACTATGAGAGAGTTGTTGACCAATGAGTTTCCAAAGTACTCACAGATGGATAAATCTCTCAAACTAAAATTTTAAGATTTTGAATGATAATAATAAATATTGTAGAACATTGACGACATTAATTACATGCGCGCTAAAGGCCATACTTATAGATGGCATGGCCCACATATTGCTAAACTGATCCAGTATAAGATACTTTCTCTATAAATAGAACTTGATCTTCTAGTAGTTTTTCAAATATATTCCGGAAAAATTTATATCAACGAATAGTCCTTATGCTATTCGAAATACACACACAAAGTTCATTAATAAAGCTAGTTATTGTTATCACCAATCTCTTATTGTAAAGGCTAACTCTCTAAGTTTTGAGATCTTTTGTTATTTTTGCGAGATAATCCATGAAAGCTAGTGAATCAAATGAAGCATCGTCTAGAAACAAGCATTGTTCGTACACAATAATATTTTTTTATAATAGATGGTTTAATGAAAAATTCTGAGATCTTGATTATTCTTTTGTTTACAAGTTACTACAAGAAAAAGACAGCCTCAAAATTAAATTGTCTTAAAGATAGCTCGCGTTTGCGAGTCCTCGAGAATCTTGTCATTTGCCACTAGTGTACACATCAGAACTAACCCAGAATCTAATGACACTAAAAATACCGACAAGAGAAGAGTTTCATAGTTTTTCGAACTATGCGAAGGGTTCTCAATAGTAAAAAAACAATCGCCAACAGGTGAAATACCCAAAGCGGTAAGGGTGTTTCCTCTAACCTAACCTAATGTTAGGTCTATGTTACAATCTGTATTGTAAAAAAGCGGTAAAAATACCCCTGCTTAAGTGAACGCTTAAGTATTTTGTCCCTTAGCCGATTTACACTAGAAAAGCCCACCCAAAAGCAAAAACGATACAAAAATGCAGACCCAAAAGAGCCAATAAACCCAAAACGGCACCTAAGTGGATACCAAAAGCTTTCCCCTTGATAATTTATATTAAGTCATCAACTTGTTGAGTTAATGACAATTTTATTTACATATGTTAGTTTATTACAGTACAATGTGTACAGTATTTTGTTAATATTAAGTGATTGAATCTAAGTAGTGTTTCATGGTTAGGATTTCTATAAACACTATCAAGTATAAAGACTCCATTGAAATGTTAAACAAACAAAACTATATAAGGGTATGTACTACATGCACCCTGCGCAAAGTCAGGATGTATGCGAGGCGCAAAAAACGCATCAGATGTGAGGCACTTCGCCACCACCCCGCATCTCAAGGCGCATGAGGCGCAGTGAGACACGCCTTTGAAAACACTGAATGGTTCAAAAAGTTACGGATAAGGAAGGGAATTTTGCTCTTGGATGAGGCTTGAACAGACTAGTAAAGAAATACCAAAGATAAGTTTCAGTGAGGGTGCTATTCTCAATTCAAGGGTTTCCAAGTGGTTCTCAATTCAAGTGTATTTTTTGCAAGATGAAATTTTAAGATGTTTCAATGATCTTAAACACATTACACTTCATAACCCTAAACTAACAATGACGTGACATGATACAATTGAATGAAATAGCAATAGTCTAACACTAAAAGATTTTAATGGACGCGGTTAAACAGAAATGCATCTCAATTATCATAACATTTATGATTATCTAAGCATATTCAATCAATCAATTTCATAATTATATTCCAAACTTTAACCAAAAACCATCAAAATTAAAGGGGAGAAAAACCATACCACTTAATAATCGATCCAAACAGAAAATGCTGCATGATGGGCACCTTCTCGAGCACCTCCGCCTTATACATCTTCAACAACCCACTATTCACCTTTGCCCAATTCGGCACCCCACTAATATCATCGAGCATCGGCGAGTGCTCCGCAAAAACCCCCTTCTTCACCTTCTTCACAAAAGCCACCGCCGCCAAGTACATGTACTCCTTCTCAAAGTTCTCCAATACATCCTCATTATGAATCGATTTCGGCTTCATATACTTATGATCAATCAACTGCGCAGACCCAAATATAAACGGCAAGAAATGGTAGTCATCCAATCCCCAAACTCCATGAGACCCTGCAGGCTCGAGACAATACTGAAGCTGGAGCTTCCTCATCAAATCAACGTACTTGACGAACACACGAAGAACGATAGCAGGGTAGTCCTGTTCTTTGATGAGATCGAGGCGAGCGAGGCAGAAGAGGAAAGCAGCAAAATTGGTCTCATGACCAGTCCCATAATCGATTCGACTAGGGTTTCCGAAGGAATCGAGAAGGTAGGGCACAAGCTCGATAACGGCGCCGGCGTCAACGAGCTCTTGATTCTGTTGGAGGAGAGGGAGGAGTAGAGAACCGGCCGAGGATTCGAGCTTTTCGTGCCAGAGACGAAACGCTGGGTTCCCGTAGCGAGCAGAATGAGGAAGAGGAGGGATTTCGTCTGCGATTGGGATTAGGGTTTCGAGGAGAGAGAGGAGGGAGGTGACGGTGGGGCCCAGGGGGAGGAGACGAGATCTTGAGGCCGCGACGGAGGAGGAGAGGCGGCGACGAAGCCGAGGAAGTGGCGTCCAGCGGCGGAGGAATGGAAGGCGCGCGACTGTCGTCGGGGACGAGATCTGCTTGGTGGGGGCACACGAGAAAGAGGAGGGAGAGGGTGGGACAGAGAGGGTTGTGGGACCGGAGAGAGGATGATGGAGGAGGTTGGGTTGGGCGTTGACGGCCGGGTACCGGATCGGGCGTACGCGGGGGAGAGACGGAGGAGAGGTGAGGCGGGTGTTGACCGTGTGGGCCTCGCAGGATGACAGCTGGTGGCGGCGCCGGCGGCGGAGGAGGCGGTGACGGGATTCGAGTATGAGGACATCTTTTTTGGGGGAGTCGGAGAGAGGAACGAAGGGGAAGAGAATGGGGAGAGAACGTTTTCGAGGAGGAATACTTGGACCTGGCCCATAAAGGTAAAGGGCTATCGATCAAGTGGAGGAGGAATGGGCCCGTTATAAGAATTGGGCCGTAGTTTGTTGATTTGATCGTTCTCGCTTCATACCAGTGGTCCAGGGCGCGCTTGGGAACCGTTTTGAAATTGGCCTTCTGTCCCAATTTACAATTTTATTTATTTATATATTTATTTCGTCTCGCAAAACGGGACTACCATTTTATTAAAGCCCGAAAAGAGGCCTAAAATCCATTCTTTGTCAGAACATCACCCCCTCCTGGTTTAATTCTAAACTGGCTCAGTATGCATTCTTAGACAGGAGTCGTATTAATTCTCGCACGTACTGCAATTGATAATGATGTGGAAGAGGGGCGTAGGGCCCACACCGGACTAACCTGGGCCCTGGCCGATCAGTTTAGGGTTTATTGGGACCCGGTCGACTCTAGCCGAAATGGTGCCCAAGTCGGGTAAGGGCCTGTTTGGATGGGGTATTTTGCCCCGAAAATCAGGAGGAAAGCTGTTAAAATGGTAACTTTTTGACAGCTTTCCCCCAAAATTGACTCTTCAAAAGGCGATTTGGGGGGAAAGCTGCCAAAAAACTACCATTTTGACAGCTTTCCTCCCAATTTTCGGGGCAAAATACTCATCTAAACGGGCCCTAAAGACCCGGGTTCAGAATTAAACCTGGCCCAATCCACTGAACCGGCACATCTGGACGCCTAGTTCTGCATGAAATTTGGATTCGTTCGATTTGCGCACTGGAGGAGTTGGACGAGGTATTGAAGCTTTATGCGGCGCATTTGGTCGAGGTTGGGGTTGTCGCGGTATGGGTCGGCTGAGACGAACTGGGGGATGTAGGTCTTCTCCTCCATGGACCGGGTCACCGGGGATGGGCCGGGACTCTGGAGGTTGTGGGCCTCAAACCCCGTTTGCTTCTTCTCGTGCTTAGATCCAACAGTGGCGGCTTCTCTCTCTCTTCTTCACGCGTTCTCTCTTTCCAGCGGCGGCTTTGTTTTTTCTCCAGCTCTCAATTGTGTTTTGAGGGAAGGAATTAAAGAGGAAATTAAAAAGAGAGAAATTATGGGGGGGGGTGGCTCTTGATTTTTATCTCCAGCACACAGTGAATTAAAGATGAGAGATTTAAGAGGGATTCTTTTTCCCACATCTCAGTTTGAGGGGGAATTAAAAAAGAGAATTAACAATGATAATGAGAAATAATAATATGGTAAAAGGAGAGGCGAGTGTAATTGCAAAGGATAATTAATGGGAAGAAAGAAAAGATTAGAGCATATTGATAGTTGCTCTGCAGCTAAACAACAAAAATAGAAAGGATTATTGGAGCTGAGTCACTGATAAGGCATTAATTAAAACTTGGCCAGCAATGTCGGAGTGAATGCAACAGATATGGAAATTTTACAAAAGAGAAGTTGGGCTGTAAGTATATATAGGTGAAAATTGTTGAATGAAATAATGGCTAAGAAGTGTCCGTACAAGTTAGATTCGTATATAAATGATTTCTATTTTCTTTCCAGCTATCAAGTTTTCACGCCAATTCATTGGGGTTGATTGCGGTACTGACCGTGATTTAGCAGATTATGGATTGGTACGGGACCCTTTGGATGCAAGCAGGACATTGCTCACGTTTTTATAATTATTTTTTATATATATCTGCTCATTTACTCAATTAACAATATTTGATAAAGTTGGATGCAGAGATTATTTTTGAAGAAAAAAGATTATATATTTATTGAGGGGATTATTTTTAAAACTATGGAAGGTTTAAAGAATCAATATTGATAATCAGGACCCGATAACAAGCTGATGCATTCCGTACAAGATTTAAGCCCAATACCAACGCGTCAACCAGTATGAAAATCAACCGACATCCTCGCACTTTATTCGGCCCAGATCAAAGCCCATAATTTCTAAGGGATTGTTTCATGCCCATATCTATGGCCGAAACTTAAAATGCGTAAATTAGCAATCCCTCTCTTAAAATGGACACGGACGGCGCAGTATTAAGTAGACTAATGCGATTGTTTTGGTTAAAATATATGACTTCAGTTGTCATCTGACTTGAATTAAGTACAGCCTTTGGGCTTTCTTATTAGTCTTAGGCCATGGCCCACTATGCAAATTTAAAGTGACTTCGCCCTGCTAAGTATGATTATCCACTCAAGATTTGCTTACACTAATGTTGACTCCTGATGGAATTTACAATGTCAGCTCAATGAAGCTGAACACAAACTAGTATCACAAATACTACATTCTCCATCTTTGTTGCTTTACTGTGAATAATCAAGTTTTTTTTAACTATATCATTGTCGACAGTATTATCATTTTTAATTAAAGAGGTGACCCCCCCCCCCAAAAAAAAAAAAAAAAAAAAAAACACTTTAGAGGTAAAGAGTGCTCATTCACCACATATTGTTTTATTAACAAACAAAAAAAAACTTCATGATATTGGTAATTATTAATCACATATACCTTCCATCTAGGTCACACTTCTTTTAGAAGGGCTTCATGTACTAATACGAAGCGCTGAAAATTCTAGCAAGTTATTAGTACCATGCATGTAACTCAAGCATCATTAATTCTATTTTGGCTAATTAAGTAGTTCGTGTGAGTGATAAAGGTGATGATGAGCTAAATCACCAATATACAAGGATTGGATCGATGCTCGTATTTTATTTAAGCATCTAGATAGTGTATATATCTTTTGGCAACCAAGGTCTTTAATTTCGAGTGGAGCAGTGGCGGAGCCAGGATTTTTAACATATGGGGTCCTAAAATTATTGATAATGTAGATTTTACGCACAAATTATTTTAATGACAAACTATAATTTAAAAACACATATGGGGTCCAAAAAAATCGTGAAAATATGCAGCCCAGCAGACTCGAACTCTGGTGGATTACAGGGGTCCTGGAGTGTTAAACCACTGGGCCATTGCTGCACTTATGTTTTTTATATGTAATATCTGATTACAGGGGTCCTGGAGTGTTAAACCACTGGGCCATTGCTGCACTTATGTTTTTTATATGTAATATCTGATACATATTTAGATTTTACTGGGTCCTGGGACCCCATTGGACTCAATGTAACTCCGCCCCTGGTGGAGTATATAGGAAATGCATGCAACACATAAGAAATACGATGCTAATGGCATTTGAATTACTATGATTATTTTATTGTAACAAATTGCGATTTCATGCGGTACACATCGTTTAATTTACTTAAAATGAAAAAAAGAAGCATATTGCTCAATCATGCAATCACATTCTACCAAATTGTTAATTAATTATAGCCATCTAATAAGTGAATCGCAGCCTAATGATCAATGATTATCAATTGGTATCAACACCATTACCTTTTATTAAGCACCTCAAGTTATAATAATATTTGATAGCCGCGCGCAAGGGATTCCTCGATGTTGGTAAGGATTACATTGGCTTTTGATAAGAGCCATAAAAGAGGAAAAGATAAATTTTAAGAAAATGTTTAGTGTAAGTGTGGAGTTAGTTAATTAGTACCTTTATAATTGATTCTATAATGACGCTGGGCTCTTTCGAGGCCTAAAATACTTCATATTCCTTCTCTCACTAGCTGGCAAGCTCAAATATGTTCCAATATTCCGTCAAGACAAAAAATTAATACTTGTCCATATCAATGCTCAGCGCTATATTCTAGGATTTTTCTTCCCCCCCACTACAACTGTCATCGATCACTTATCTTTTGTTTGAATAAATTTATATCAAGCAAAGGCATGAGCTTGGCCCTATCTCAATCATGCAAGCAAGCAATTTCTAGAGGAGGAGGAGGAAGAGACTTCACCAATCATCGATCCCAAAGTCTTTTTATGGCATTATGTAGAGCATATCTCAAGATTCAAATTTTTAGGAAATTATGTGTGCATGTATCTCACAATAATAATTTGGACAATTCTAAGTATCACAATGATGTAATATGCATGGAATCATGGGGTCCAACTTTAAGAGCCACCATGCATGGACCATCTCGAATATTATACGTGTCGAGTTTATAGGTTCATAGTTATTTTCATTGTTTTTAGAGCCGGTTCATAACGTGCATATATGGACTTGCTAGCTATAAGGATTGTTCACACGTCATATATATATATATCGTTCAACTTTATAATTAAATGATGCATAGGAGTTGAATATTGAAGGAGAAAGGATGTTACATTTACTTTATTGAAAAAATTCTCCAATGATTCAAAATATGGGACCAACAAGGGGGACATATAAGGTGTCCCCCTCCTATAACATAATGAGCTGGTCATCATTAATAATGACCAGCTTATTATGCAATAGGAGAGGGACACGTCACACGTCAAATGTCCCCCTGTTGATCACATATTTTAAGTGCTTATAGCAAAGTTCTACTTTATTAATAACTATATTGTAAGTGAAAGTGCATTAATTTTGTTGTCTCCTTTTTTGTTGTATGTTCACTAAAATATCATAGATTCATAGGTTCTACTCTTTAGACTCTTGACAAAAACCAAGCCAAAGTAGGCCAGCGCGTCTTCATTCGATTTTGTCAAAGATGTTTGCTTTATTATTCAGCCAACATGATATGGGGAGTGCTTTACTTTTCACAGCTGTGTCAAAAGTGACAATATGATGTCCCAAACTTTGTGACATAATTGCCAACATGGAGACTGACAAGTGACAACGATACCTAAACATAGCTTGATTTTCTAGTGGGTGAGCTGTTCTGGGTATAAATAACATTAATCTCTGTTTAAAAATTAAAAAAAAAATAATGTAATTGTTGAATTATCAACTTAACATAATTTAAATAGTGTGGTTTTGTCAAAAGACTAGGTTAAGCTGTCTACAACTATCTTGTTCGGCACTAAGAGGAATGCATATTCTCATGCTAGTTTATAGCTGGAAGAAGATATTACGTAATTAAGAATCTTAGGGAAGCTTGTAAATAATACTCATTTATTTTTATTTTTTTTATTTTATTTTATTTTCATATTCCTAATTTGGATAGCTGGCTACCACAATTAAAATTATTCCATTTAAAGATAAAATCTCAAGAATAAATATCTTTAAAGTCTACTTCCATCGATCGAATTTTATTAACCAACTCAGATATCTCCTCACAAACCGTCTTCATTTGTCTCTCCTGTTAATACAACTATACAAGTTTCGGTGGTGTTAATATGTTCGGCCCCACGTCGGCCAACTAAACTAACTTAATTTGATGGCCATAAGTATCATCATGCTCCAATCCTCTCTCTAATAATTATATGGCTACGGTCTAAGCTAAGTCTTTTTCGAATGATTGATGCCATATGATAGTATTATTTTTTTTTCTTGTGGAGTCAATATTGGAGTGTTTACCCAAAGTAGTGTGAATGTTTGCCATTTACGTTGAAACTGGCAGCCAATTTAGATATACGTAAATAAAAAATAATTTATTTTGTAATATAAGATTTATTTAAAACAATTGGTTATTATAAATTTGCTAGCACCAGTTTATAAGTCTTCGAGTTTTGTCTTTTACAGAACATCATCCAAAAATTCTTCTAGAGCTTTATGCATACATCAGCTATTATTTTCTCAGCGATAATTTTGACTTAAATTGAAACATCTACACATTCAGCCTAGCAATATAAAATGAGCTCAATATATATCTTTTCGACATTTTATATTTATATATACATAAAATATCCCCGAAGCATTACAAATTAATAGGAATTTCAAATATGGTAGGAGTACTACTGTTGTCACAAACTCTGCTCGATAATCTATTGTACAATATTCTTCGATTTTTATCCATTATTATATTTAATTTTCATCCACAACACTTTGTAGTTTGCTTTCCCATAATGTGCAGTAAATTAAGCAGGCTCAAACAAATTTCTCGTGGCCGCCCAAATTGCAATCATTCAAGGGTGTCAGAGAAATTCAATTGCAAGAAAATTGTTCAGACTTCGAAGTCTTTATAGGATTTGGCCCACCTCATTCGTTTATTTGAAAGTTTCAAACTTTATTTAATTACATGCTCTCAATTTTAGTTCGCAAGGGTCAAATTCGTTGTCTTCGTCCTCTGTTGGATGTAAGGTTGCTGAGTCCTTTTCATGGACTCTCTAGGTCTTTGTCCCTATCGGTCAATTATTAAGGACTCTATATTTATTTTCCACTTGATAATATTTCAAGTGTTTGATTAATAAGATATGTACCATCTTTACTGCTCAATAATATGAGACTAGCTATGTAATTTAATTAAGGTACACAACACTCGCGCAGTCGCATTAATGAAGAACAATAAAATTACGCATTCTCCCTCCGTTCTCGTGTCATATTAAATTACATTTGTTTGCAAAAAAAATACGTTTAAGTTGTATGTACGTACTATGTTTTTTCTCCCATCTTTTTTCTAAAATAAATCTTATCCAAAAAGGTAAAATATGCAACAAATAGCATAGCAAACATCTTGTACAAAAGCATCCATCCGAAGGGAATAGGAAACTGACATAATTGGTTAAAATATATGACTTTTAAAAAAGCAAAAGTTTTAAGACAAATATTAAAAGTCACTAGTTTTTCAATGTCTAGCTGGAAGATTTATTTTGCTCAGCATTTTGTATATTTCCGAGTGGAAAAAATTGTTCAGCGTTTTCTATATGAGTGCTGCTACGGGATCCCAAAATATAGAATCAAGGGATGGGACATGTGAGGTGTCCCCTTCCTATTGCATAATGAGTTGGTCATGCCAACTCATTATGCAATAGGGAGGGGACACCTCACATGTCCCCTCCATTGATTTCATATTTTAGATCCTTAAATCATTTTTCTTTCTATATTTTTTTACGCGCAAGTCTCCTTTAACCGCGCGTGTGATCGCGCGTGTGATCGCTCTCGATGGGAAAATCGAGAAACGAAATTAGAACGCACGCGACGCACGAGAAATGATAAATCATAGAATGAAGCAGGATTATTCATGATGTTACATTTTTTTTATGCGAAGAATATCCGAATACATTTTGCACGTAATTCAAAGACGCGCAGCGTATGCCCCCCCTGGGCCCTGGGCCCTGGGCCACGGCGTGCCCGTATTCTTCGAAGTACATAATTGCTAAATAAGAGATGGGGAAAAACCACAGAAGAGACCTCAAGAAAAACATGGGCTAAAATGTTGCAAAATTGCCCATCAATGAATGATCACACATCTCGTCAAAGGAAAGAGGAAGCCATTGTTTAATTGGGACTCTGCTGAGTACTGTATCCCATATTATTTATTATTGGACAAAACATCACGCCATCAAAGTAAAGAATTTCTGAACGAAGATAAGGACAACTCACACCAGGCTTCAGTGCTGGCTTGAGATAAGGCTCACCCAGCTGCGGGCCCGGCCTTTATCTAATCTAGTCCGTACCCTTTGTACAAGCACGAGTACAGAACGTGTACAACAGTCCAATGCACGGGGAGCTATTAGAAATGTATCTATTCCTAT